ATATATATATATATATATATATATATATATATATATATATATATATATATATATATATATATATATATATATATATATATATAAATAATAAATAAAAAATTACATTTAATTAAATTATACTTTATTATATGAGCTAGGAAGGTAAATTAAATTTAAAAAAACGAAAATAAAAAAATTCAATTAAATAATAAAATAAAATATTAATTAAAAAAATGTATTCAATTGAAATAAATTTAATTAAATTTAACTAAAGTTCTACTCTGACAAAGCCAATGATGGAAACTTTACTAAATGAATATTTTTGTGTCATTCTTCATAGCCCATTATTTAGGCTATAGGAAAACAAAATAAAATACATTAAAATTAAATGAATAAAGAAAATAATAAAAAGTATAAAATTAAATGTAAAAAAGTTAAATAAAAAAATATTTAATTAAAATTTAAATTTTTACTCTTGCATAAACAATAATGGAAAATTTTCTGAATGAATATCCTGCATGTCATTCTTCATAGCACATAATTTCATCTATAGGAAAATAAAATAAAATAAAATAAAATAAAATAAAATAAAATAAAATAAAATAAAATAAAATAAAATAAAATAAAATAAAATAAAATATATAAGTAGTGTATGAGTGTGTGTTTATTCGATAGGTTGCAGCTGGAAGGGCATCCGCTGCGTGAAACATGTGCTAGATAAGTTGGCAGTTCATTCCGCTGTGGCGACTCCAGATTAATAAAGGGACTAAGCCGACAAGAAAATGAATGAATGAATATATAAAAGTAAAAATTAAATAAATATAAATTTTTTTACAAAATAAAATAATAATCAATAATACAAATTTTAAAAATTACAACAAAAAAAACACTTAACACTAAAATAATAGAAAAAATGTGTATCCAGTTTTCAGCAGTAAAATAAACGTCTTAGAACCACTTTAGAATTGAATAGAATAGAATATTTAGAGCTCTCTGTCACCATCTTGTGGTGCCATTAAGCATTTACAGTTCATTAATCTATTAACTCAGTGGGTCATTGTCCCTTAGAGTTTCTTTTGTTGCACTTTATCAATTTGTTTCAGCAAATTTAAACTCGAATGCATATTTTATTAGGCAGTTTTTCCTCAAAATTAGTCCTAAAGTCCTTGGGTTTGACATCCCTGCTCTAAACATTAATCCGTTAGTATGTGTATGAGCTTTGAGGTTAAACATACATGGACAGCACATTTTAGCTCTTAAGTGGCTATTAAAAAAACTTGAATGTTTTATATTTTGTTACAGACAAATAGTGTCATCCTTCAACTGTTTTGCAGCATATGAAATGTCCCAAACACTATTTTTAACTGTCCAAAATGGGCAAAATATGTTGTTTTTACCATCTGATAGTCAAAGCAAGTAAAAATAAATGTGTAATATATGCATTGAAAAACAGCCAGGAAAAAACATTTGATTTAAATTCGGACCACGAGTCTACATTTATGGTCATTATTTCTTTCTAAAAGTACATTATATCAAAAGATGCTACTTAAGTTTTTATTCTAATTAGGTTCCAATAAGCCCAAATAGCAAAGAGAAATAAAAAAAATGCATGTAAAAAACACCTTAAGAGGTTATGAAAAACTTGGTTCAACATAGATCAAAAAAGGTTTTTTTTTTTATTAATCCGGGGAATGAACCGCCAACTTGTCTAGCAAGTTTTTACGCAGCGGATGCCCTTCCAGCCGAAACCCTTCTCTGGGAAACATCCACACACACATTCACACTCATACACTACGGACAATTTAGCCTACCCAATTCACCTGTACCGCATGTCTTTGGACTGTGGGGGAAACTGGAGCATCCGGAGGAAACCCACGCGAACGCAGGGAGAACATGCAAACTCCACACAGAAACGCCAACTGAGCCGAGGTTCGAACCAGCGACCCAGCGACCTTCTTGCTGTGAGGCGACAGCCCTACCTACTGCGCCACTGCCTCGCCAGTATAATATTATAATGTTACTAAATAGAATTATTAATTTTATTTTTGAAAGTCCCTTCCATGCAAAGTTGCTATTTATGCACATTCATGAGAAAAATATTTAATAGTCAATTCAAGATGGCATTACAAGATGATATACTCTTAAAAAAAAGATTTTTGCTGTTTGTTATACTTTTTAAAGTAATGCTCATTACTTAGAAAAGTGATAATTTTATGTCACTCGCGTTACTTGAAATGCATTACCCCCAACAATAATGTTTACATGAACGTTTAGAGTTCACCTATCCATTATTTGGATGCATGTAATCAAGTTGCACCTGTTTTGTGAGCAGCTCATTGTCCATCTTCAGTCTCTCCACTGCTCTCAGACTCTCCTGCAGCCTCTGCTTCTGCTGCTTCAGCTCAACAATATAATCACACGCTTTTGACAAAATCCCACCTTTACTCTGGAGGAACAAAGAGCACAAACACTTCATTAACAATTAATTCATTAATAATTGATGACAGAACAGCAGAAACCATTTCTACTTCACACACGTCACTTTACAGCTAGTATTTGAATGATTCTCTAGCGTAGTGTCTAAAGTGATTTCAAAACAGATGATTTTGCACACATTTTCAGATTATAAGGCTGAACGTCATGAAATGCCATCAGTCTACTGGAATTTCCCAGTATTTCTGTAACGTCGGGGAAGTGACACACACAACTGGGTAAGATCCAATATGAAGGTTTAATCGTAGTCAGGCAGGCAATGGTCAATACAGGTGCAACAGGTATGTACAGGCAGTCCAGAATCGTAGTCTATAGCCCCTTTCACACAGTGATACCGGTAAATATCCGGAAAATTTCTGGAACTACTTTACCGGTACATTCAAAAAAACGCTGTTCACACAGGCGAGGACGTTACGGAATTTTTTCGGAAAAGAGCATTCACACATCCATTCCAAAATACCAGTAAATTCTGACATCATTAACCAGAAATGACCTCTAAACGGCTGCGCTTGTGTTTGTAAACATTTGACTACATCACAAACTCTTCGGATGGATCAGTATTGAGTAGAACTCTAATGAAAACATAGGGAAACACTTTCGCATGTCGAGATGTTCATGATATGCGTGTGTGCTGGCGCTATGGGCGCTCACGGGCACACGCAAAGCTTGAAGGTAAACAAACAACAGATTATCATAAACATTTTATCGATAATTATTTACACAGCATTAAGAAGGAACATAGAAACATTATCTGACTAACATCTAGCAGCTAAAGGTGTCTGGAAAAAATATTCAAAGGCTTTTATTCTCATAAACCGCGCGCACGTGAATGCGTCTGACTGTTCTGATTGGCTAAAGCAGGTGTCTCACGTCAGCCCGTTCTAGATGTGGACGCGCTTATTACGGCAATCTTCCTTCTGCATTCACACAGCGAAGCGTTCCGGCAAATTGCCGGTAATGTTACAACTTCTCTTTCCGGAAAATAGCCAGAACAAATTTACCGGTATTTTCAAAAAGGGCCTGTTCACACATACAACCTTTCCTGAAAATTGCCTGGAATTTTCCGGAAAGGTCTGTATGTGTGAAAGGGGCTCTTATAACAAGCGAGAGGTCTTAAGGCAGGCAGCAGACAGGGAGAACTAGATATACAAGACTGGGTCGAAACACGGGAAAACAAGACAAGGTAAGCGCGTTGTAGTGTCATCACAGGATAAACAAGACTCGGCCAACTGAAAGGGGGAATGTGTGGCTTATGTAGTGAATGCAATCAGTCTCTGATAGTCCTCAGTTGTTGCGAGTGTAATCAGTCTAGATGAGTGAGCAAGGGTGTCTGGGCGAAGTGCATGTCTGAATATGTAGTCCAGGAAAAGGTGGAAGTGTAGTCCATGGTTATTGTGTGGGAACCAACGATCTATGGAGAACGATCGCTGGTTATCGTGACAATTTCTCTGCATTTGGAAGATCACAATAATTAGCCCTTAAAAGCCAAAGCAAAGCAATCACTAGCAGATTACCATGGTATAAATACAACACTGCAACATACAAAAGAGAGAGATCGACTTAAAGTGTCACTTCCCTGTTTTATAATGATTTGTTCAGCAGTAATTTTAAATTTTTTTTGCAGAGTTTTTCCTCTCCTAAGGATGCCCTAATAGCTATTGATGCACTGAATCTCCAGAATTATAAATATTTAAAATAGGCACTATCCTTATAAATAAACTGCATAGTTGCAATCTAAACTAGGGTTGGGCGATGTTGACCAATTTGGCATCGTAGGATGTCTAATGTGAAACATCGCGATGGACGATGGCATTTCATTTGTAAGTCGCTTTGGATAAAAGCGTCCGCTAAATGACTAAATATAAATGTAGGCGGGGGGTGGGGGGTGGTTGTTGGGCTGGGAAAATGCATTATTGGACTCACGGCTCCAGTCTTTGTGCCATCGAAGCTGCAGTCGGGAATGATTTTTGAGAGCGTCTCAATCCAGTTGTTGATTTTGTCTCGCCGTCGCCTTTCCACTGCAGATAAATAACAAGACAGAGTTCACAGACAAAACCTGGGCCATAATGTCTAAAATGTACAATACATGTTCAGTCTGTCAATCCTCTGCTGGCCTCTACAGGCAGACTTACAGCACATCACTGTATTTGAGGTGGAAACAGCATCAGTTATTCAGGTCATTTTCCACCATTTATAGAGAAAAGTGTAGATTAAGAGAATTGACTGACCTTCATTGTGCTGTGCTCGTCTTCTCTCGTCTCTAGGGGTGCGTGGACTGTCTGTTTTCCTGAATTAATAATAAAAGAAAACAATGAATAGATGTAAAAACAAACTTTTTAAAATTAGTTATAAACAAGTCATATGCTATATGATATATGGTAAAATAACAAATAAAGAACAAGCATTGAAATAAAATGCAATAAATTAAAAATTGTCATTTCAAATATGGCCGTAATTTAAAAGGTTCATTAAAAATACCAAAAAGAAAATTTACAGAAAAAATACATTAAAAATAAACTAAATAAAAAATTTAATAATATATATTTAAATTGAATTAAACAAAATAAAATATTAAATAATCACAATTAAATTAAATAAAATTTAAAAATTAATTAAAAATTTTAAAAAATTAAAACAAAACAAAATATGTAATTTGAAATTTGGCTGTAGTTTAAAAAGTTTATTAAAAAACAAATGGAGAAAACTTACATAAAAAATACAGAATTTTTGTAAAACTAAATAAAATTTAAAATCATATTAAAATTAAACTAAATAAAATATAAATTTAATTTAATAATTAATTAAAAATTTAAATAAATTTAAACAAAATACAATAAAGAATTTAACATTTGGCTGTAAGTATAATTAAGTGGGTAGCACAATCGCCTCACAGCAGGAAGGTTGCTGGTTTGAACCTCGGCTGGGTAATTGTAAATTAAATAATCACTGTGTTTTTGTGTGGAGTTTGCATGTTCTCCCGATGTTGACTGCGTGGGTTTCCTTCAAGTGCATCCACTGCATAAAACATATGCAAGATAAGCTTGTGGTTCATTCCGCTGTGGCGATCCCTGATTAATAAAGGGACTAGGCCAAAATTAAATTAAATTAAATTAAATTAAATTAAATTAAATTAAATTAAATTAAATTAAATTAAATTAAATTAAATTAAATTAAATTAAATTAAATCTAAAAATGTAATTAAATTAAATTAAAATATGAAATGAAAAAAAAAATTAATCCAGAGATAAATAAAATAATTAATTAAATTAATTAAGAAAACGTTTAAAAATACAGATATAAATTACATTTAAATAAAATAAAATGTGTAATTTTTAATATTTCATTAAAAATAAACTTAGAAAACATTTAGAAATACAGACATAAAATAAATATTAAATTAAAGTAAAATATGTAATTTGAAAAGTTTTATTTAAAATAAATGGAGAAAACACTTATGTTTACAGATATACATAGATATATAGATATGCAGAGATTAATTAAATAAAATAAATACATTAAACTAAAACAAATAATAAAATCAAATAAAACTAATTTAAATTAAATGAAGAAAACATTTAAAAATACAGAGATAAATAAATTAAAACAACATAAGATGTGCAATTTGATAAGTTTTATTAAAAATGAATGGAGAAAAATAAAAAATACAGATATAAAATAAAAATTAAATTATGTAAAAAAATTTAATTTGAAAAGTTTTATTAAAAATAAATGGAGAAATACAAAGATTAATAAAAAAATAAAATAAAATTAAAAAAGATAAATAAAATAAATTTAACTAAAATAATCAAATTAAATTAAATAAAAACTAAATAAGATATGTATTTTGGAATGTGGCTGTAATTTGAAAAGTTTTATTAAAATAAATGAAGAAAACATTTTAAAATGCAGAGATGAATATTAAGATAAATTAAATTAAATTAAATTAAATTAAATTAAATTAAATTAAATTAAATTAAATTAAATTAAATTAAATTTAATTTAATTTAATTTAATTTAAACTTAATTTATTATAACTTATAACTTTATTATAACTTATTATAACTTTACTATTTCAGCAATGGCATGTAGAACTCTATCATGTCACGTTAACAAACCTGCCATCAGCCACTCAAGATATTAGTATTGGCCATGAAAACGACATAGAGGTCACCTACTACTGAGACGGGAAGCTTCATAAAGTTAAAGCCAGTATATAGTGTGAAGAGAGAAATCTCAGTGTAAGGTCTCTCTGCCCTTCTGCTGATCTCGAGGGAGTCTCAGCATCGCTCTGTTCATTAGGTTATAAATTACAGCACAGAAACAGCTGGCGTCTGACTTCAGTCTAATGACACAACTGTTCTCCACGTGGAGTCTTCCCTCAGGTATGCTTTAATGAAGTCACGAATCCACAGCGTCGTGTCTGTCACAGTGCAGAGGAGCCGCCATTCACACAACAACACCTCAATAAATGCCATGAAGCAGGTCTGGGGCCTGTTTCAGTAAGGAGGTTCAACCAACTCAGAGTATAAACTTAAACTTTGAGTTGATTTACCGAGAGATTAAAAACTCGGAGTTTCCGGTTTCAGAACAGCTAATCTGAGTTAGGTCAATCAACTTTGAGTAGGCCAACTCAGCGTTAAGCGCGCACACCGCGACTATAAAAAGGCATTATCAATAGAGCGCAGATATTACGAGTGACCATGGCAACATCATAAAAAAGTGATCAGCATTTCTTTCTCCAGCTGAACTTGATGCTCATGCAGTTATAGCAAATATGAGCATATATTTAAAAAAGCAACACCCCTGCATCAGTGAAACAAAGACAGTTAGCGTGGGAAAACAGCTCAAGTTAATTTGTAATTTTACATTTAAAGTATTTAAATATTTAAGTATAGTATAATAAGTAATGTTATGTGTGACGTTTATAACATTTTTACACACGTTCCCAGTTTTTTACATATTGATCAGTTTTAATAGATTTAACAGTGCGCTTGTGTGTCTGCCTTTGTTATTGATCAAGTGATAAAGGTTGATATGACATTTAGTATCTAAGCAGAAGTTAACAATAGTTTTTGAAAAGAATGATAATCCCATTAATCTAATTACAGTACATGTCCCTGAAGGTCAGTGATTTTAAGCTAACTATTCATTAAAAAAGGACAAGCCATTCTCGTACGTGACTTTGTTCTTTGTGTGATTATAATGTAGGCAATAGCTGTTTCCATCTAAATATATATTAATTAAATTTATGTGCAAAACTGGAATTTCGCATAAAAGATGTGCGAATAAAGCAGCGTTTCCATCCAGCGAGTCAAAGAGAACAAAATCATCACTTCCTGATTAAACGGGTGCCAAATATCAACAGTAAAAGCAGAATTTACTGCGGTAGAAGTAGCTGCGTCAATCTTTTCTTTATTTAATAAATGTACTTGCGCCTAAGAAGACAATCCTGACACACAATGAACACGTGGTAGCGTTTGAAGCCATGAGACGCGGAGAACAGACGCTCTTAACACGCTCCAGACACTTTGGAGGTTATTAATAATATAAATTGACACTAATACTGAAACGGTTAAGGCGTTTTAGAATGAATAAGCAAAACAACATTTAAGGTGTGTTTACAGTGTGCTCAGCATGCTGGTTTGTCCATTCACACACATATTCATCATCACATGATCTCTCTTTTTTTAATGCACATATTGGAATTTGTTCAGTAAAAGTGTTTTCATTGTAGTTTAGGCGCATATTTTCTATCGAATAAAAGTTTATCCTCCTCCGGTATGATTATGTTTTTATGCGTATTTTCAAACAGTACATGTCCCTGTTGAAGGTCAGTGATTTTAAGCTAATTATTCATTAAAAAAGGACAAGCCATTCTCGTACGTGACTTTGTTCTTTGTGTGATTATAATGTAGGCAATAGCTGTTTCCATCTAAATACATTAATTAAATTTATGTGCAAAACTGGAATTTCGCATAAAAGATGTGCGAATAAAGCAGCGTTTCCATCCAGTGAGTCAAAGAGAACAAAATCATCACTTCCTGATTAAACGGGTGCCAAATATTAACAGTAAAAGCAGAATTTACTGCGGTAGAAGAAGCTGCATCAATCTTTTCTTTATTTAATAAATGTACTTGTGCCTAAGAAGACAATCCTGACACACAATGAACACGTGGTAGCGTTTGAAGCCATGAGACGCAGAGAACAGACGCTCTTAACACGCTCCAGACACTCTGGAGGTTATTAATAATATAAATTGACACTAATACTGAAACGGTTAAGGCGTTTTAGAATGAATGAGCAAAACAACATTTAAGGTGTGCTTACAGTGTGCTCAGCATGCTGGTTTGTCCATTCACACACATATTCATCATCACATGATCTCTCTTTTTTTAATGCACATACTGGAATTTGTTCAGTAAAAGTGTTTTCATTGTAGTTTAGGCGCATATTTTCTATCGAATAAAAGTTTATCCTCCTCCGGTATGCTTATGTTTTTATGCGTATTTTCAAACAGTACATGTCCCTGTTGAAGGTCAGTGATTTTAAGCTAATTATTCATTAAAAAAGGACAAGCCATTCTCGTACGTGACTTTGTTCTTTGTGTGATTATAATGTAGGCAATAGCTGTTTCCATCTAAATATATTAATTAAATTTATGTGCAAAACTGGAATTTCGCATAAAAGATGTGCGAATAAAGCAGCGTTTCCATCCAGCGACTCAAAGAGAACAAAATCATCACTTCCTGATTAAACGGGTGCCAAATATCAACAGTAAAAGCAGAATTTACTGCGGTAGAAGAAGCTGCATCAATCTTTTCTTTATTTAATAAATGTACTTGCGCCTCAGAAGACAATCCTGACACACACAATGAATGCGTGGGGGCGTTTGAAGCCATTAGACGCGGAAAACAGACGCTCTTAACACGCTCCAGACACTCTGGAGGTCATTAATAATGTAATAACATTAATACTGAAACGGTAAAGGCGTTTTCGAATGAATGAGCAAAACAATATTTAAAATGTGTTTACAGTGTGCTCAGCATGCTGGTTTGTCCATTCACACACATTTTCATCATCACAT